TTACGCCCTTATAGATTCGGTCGTTAAGGATGAGGGTTGCTGTGAACGTTTGATGTAGGGGCTGTGTTGGAAGCTATTTTCGCTCTTCGGGGTGTCGTCTGTAAAGGTGAGAGTCGTATGTATGTCTAGCTTCTCGGTCGTTGAGAGTCGCGTTACAGGATATTTTCACTCTTCGTGACTCGGGTCATAAGGGTGGGATTTATGTGCGTTCAGGTTCTTTCCCCAATCCGATATGAACCAAATGCACGCCATTCCTACCTTTCGATTTATTAATGAATAGGGACAAGAATCATTTTATTTCTTCCCCTTCTAACCCCCCCCACCCCCCCACCCCTTCCCTCTCTTCCCCTTTTCTCTCCGTACCCCTTTCTCTCCCCTCTCTCCGTATCGCCCTCCCCTCTCTCTCCCTTCACCCCTCCCTCTCCCACTCCTCCTCACCCTCCCCTCTCTCTCTCTCTCCCCTCATCTTCCCTCCCCTATTTTCCTCCCTCTCACCCCTTCTCCCCTCCCCCCCTACCCCTCCCTTCACTTCCCCTTACCCTCTCTCCTTCCTGACACGGCGTTACTAATGCATGCTATTCCCGCCTCTCTGTTCATGTTTTTTATAGGCCATTATCGCTTGTCGTGTTATGCTAGCCCTACACGCTATCCGGGCACAAGAGCGTGTGTTTCGTACCTTTATTAATATCGTAAAAAAAGGGGAGGGGGGGAAAGAGAGAGAGAGAGAGAGAGAGAGAAGAGAAAAAAGGGAGATAGAATAAAAGATTTATAACTAATAGGCTTGACCATAATATTGTTTTTCGTCTTGTGGTTCACTTCATTTTTGTTCTTTGGCCTTTTCGTTATAATTATCCATTATTATTATTATTATCATCATTATTATCAGAAAGAGAGAGAGAGAGAGAGAGAGAGAGAGAGAGAGAGAGAGAGAGAGAGAGAGAGAGAAAGATAGATAGAGAGAGAGAGAGCGAGCGAAAGACCAACCGACCGACAGACACACATACAGATAGATAGACAGGGAGAGTAATAAAAGAGGGGAAACAAAGAGAAGGAGAAGAAAGGGGAGATTAAACGATCTTTGGAATGAGGGGACGAAGGAGTACGAAAAATGTAAACATAAATAGAGATAATAACAAAGAGTTTTATTTTACAACAGAGGACGAAAGGGGAGAAAGGAGAGAGAGAGAGAGAGGGAGAGAGAGAGAGAGAGAGAGAGAGAGAGAGAGAGAGAGAGAGAGAGAAAGAGAGAGAGAGAGAGAGAGAGAGAGAGAGAGAGAGAGAGAGAGAGAGAGAGAAAACACAGACAAACAGAAAGAGAGAGGACACAAAAACGAATCAAGAGGTACAAAGAAAATAAATAAATAAATAAAAAACAACAGAAAATCATGACAAAAGCTAATCCCCCTTCCCCCCCCCTTTTAAAAGCCCCGCCCACTCACAACAGCGTCATAAAATGAGGCTTTATGCCCGATTAAAAAGGTTAAAATTAATTAACGCAACAGGTGATGAATTTCTCTCTCTCTCTCTCTCTCTCTCTCTCTCTCTCTCTCTCTCTCTCTCTCTCTCTCTCTCTCTCTCTCTCTCTCTCGACAGATAGATAGATAGATAGATGGAGAGAGAGAGAGAGAGAGAAAGGGAGAGAGAGAGAGAGAGAGAGAGAGAGAGAGAGAGAGAGAGAGAGAGAGAGAGAGAGAGAGAGAGAGAGAGAGAGAGAGAGAGAGAGAGAGAGAAAGTGAGAGAGAGAGAGAGAGAGAGAGAGAGAGAGAGAGAGAGAGAGAGAGAGAGAGAGAGAGAGAGAGAGAGAGAGAGAGAGAGAGAGAGAGAGCAGCAGCAGCAGCAAAGAAGGCACAAAAATAAATGAATAACCAGGAGGGGAAAGAGAAACAATAGAAAAGGGGGAAGGATGAAGAACAGAATAGACGAATAAGAATAAGAAAAAAAAGAGAAGAAAACTGGAATAAACAAAACATAGAAAGGGGAATAGAAGAAAAAAAAAGAGAGATAACTGAACCTAAATAATAAGAAAGAGGAAGAGGGGAATTAATGACAAGAGAGAAGGAGAAGAATAACAAAGGCGTGATAAGGACGAATGTAAATAATGCGAAGAGGGGGAAGAGGGAAGGGGGAAGGAGAAGAAGGAGAGTCACGTGAGGCGAGGGGCTGCGATGAGGGGAATGGAAGGAGAGGCCAATAAAGGAGAGAGAGAGGAAGGAAGGGGAAAAGAGAAAAGAGGAGAGAGAGAGAGAGAGAGAGAGAGAGAGAGAGAGAGAGAGAGAGAGAGAGAGAGAGAGAGAGAGAGAGAGAGAGAGAGAGAGAGAGAGAGAGAGAGAGAGAGAGAGAAAATAACTTCCTACGATGAGTATATAAGAAAAAAGAAAATAATATCCAGACTAAGAAATTATCCCCAAAAAGCTAAATCAAAAAAAAAAAAAAATATCGTAAAAAAATAAAAGTGTAAAAAAAAAAACAAAAAAAAATCGGCACGCAAGACTTAAGTAAGACATTACGTTATAAAAGTAAAAAAAAAAAAAGAGTGAAAGAGAGAGAGAGAGAGAGAATAAAAAAAAAAAAAATAATGAAGACACCAATCATAGCAGAATGATTGGCATTTTTGCAACCATTGATTATTATGCAGTTAAAGAAAATGAGAAAGAGAATTTTCACAACCTTATGATTGTCTGTTGATCATACTAGAGCAATATGATATGAAACGATATGAAAAAAAGACGAAATAAAGTGAAAAATATATGTGTGTGTATATATATCGTGTGTCTCGTTAACACGTATTTAAGACTAATAAATTTGAATTTATTTCTTCCTTTCCTCCTTCCTCCTCTCCCTCTCCTCCTTTCTTATATGCTTCCTCTTTCGTTTTCTTTTCCTCTTCCTCCTTTTTTTTCTACCTCTCCTCTCATCTTAAATTTTTTTCTTATTTTTTCTTTTCTTCTCTTCTTTTTCTTATTTTTCTTGTTCTCTTCCCCTTCTCTTCCTCCTTTTACCTTCCCTTTCCTTCCCCTTTTACCCTCCCTCTTGCTACTTCCCTTCCCTCTCCCCTTTCCCCTCCGTCTTGCCACTTCCCCTCCCCCTCCCCTCCGTCTTGCCACTTCCCCTCCCCCTCCCCTCCCCCCCTCCCCTCCGTCTTGCCACTTCCTCTTCCCCTTCCCCCTTCCCCATTCCCCCTCCCCTTCCCCTTCCCCTCCGTCTTGCCACTTCCCCCTCCCCTCGGTCGTGCCACTTCCCCTTCCCCTCTCCCCCTTCCCCTCCCCCTCCCCACTTATTATTTTTTGCGTCGCCTGAGTACGTGCTATAACGGCAGAAATACGAGTCTAAAAACGCCACGTGAATTGATATAAAATGGCCGTAAGTTAACAGCTTGAGTCAATTCCCTTGTATTGAAAGCATGTTCGGTATTGCTTTCTCTCTCTCTCTCTCTCTCTCTCTCTCTCTCTCTCTCTCTCTCTCTCTCTCTCTCTCTCTCTCTCTCTCTCGCTCTCTCTCTCTCTCTCTCTCTCTCTCGCTCTCTCTCTCTCTCTCTCTCTCTTATTCTGTCTGTCTGCCTCTCACTCTCTCTGTCTCTCTGCCTGTCTCCGTCTCTCACTCTCTCTCTCTCTCTCTCTCTCTCTCTCTCTCTCTCTCTCTCTCTCTCTCTCTCTCTCTCTCTCTCTCTCTCTCTCTCTCTCTCTCTTCTTCTTCTTCTTCTGTCCGTCTGTGCGGGTGTGTAAGTATATGTGCGCATATGCTTGTTTGAGTGTGTGTGTGCGTGTGGCTACGTATAGATATTCTTACTTTTCTCCTTTTTTGAAAGAAAAATGTCGCCGAGTTGTCATGACGCAATATTGTCTCGAAAATGCAAAAAGAGACAAAAAAAAGAAAAAAAGAATAAAAGAGAAAAGAAAGGAAACGTAAATTCATGTCGTTTCCATTAATTTTTCTTTCCTTTATATCATCGCTGCTCTTCAATTAACTTTTTCTTTTTTTTAGGGGGGGGGGGTGATGAAGACATTGTGGACACTTTTTTTTATTCCAGTTTTTCGTTCTGTGTCTGTCCGATAACATTTCTTTTTTCTTGTCTGTCTCTTTATTCATCTCTATGTCTAGCTGTCTGTCTGTCTGTCTGTCTGTCCCTTCCTCCCTCCGTCTCCCTCTTCCCTCCCCTTCTGTCCCTCCCTCTCCGTCTTCCTTCTTCCCTCTGTCACTCCCTCTCCTCTGTCCCTCCCTCTTCCTTCTTTCTTCTCCTCTATCCCTCCCTCTCCCTCTGTCTCTGCCCCTCCCTCTTCCCTCTTCCTTCTTCCTTCTCCTCTGTCCCTCCCTCTCCCTCTGTCTCTGCCCCTCCTTCTCCCTTTTCCTTCTGTCCCTCCCTCTCTTCCTTCTTCCCTCTCTCTCCCTCTCTCTCTCTCTCTCTCTCTCTCTCCTCTCTCTCTCTCTCTCTCTCTCTCTCTCTCCCAAGCCCCGCCCCCTCTAAGACTGCGCATGCGTGGACGAAAGCGCCAGGCGTGCTTTGAACAGATCTTCGGTCTCGACGCTAATCTTCACCTTGTTTTATCGTGAGTTCTAATCTTCTCCTTCTACCCCCCTCCCCCCCCCCTCTTCCTCTTCCCTACCCTCCCTCCTCTGTGTCTTCCTTCCTCCTCCTTACTTTGTCTCTTCTCTCTCTCTCTCTCATTCTCTCCTCTGTGTCTTCCTTCCTCCTCCTTACTTTGTCTCTTCTCTCTCTCTCTCTCATTCTCTCCTCTATCTCTTCCTTCCTCTCTCTTCCTCCGCCTATCTCTTCTTTACTCTCTCCTATATCACTTTCCTTCTCCTTCTCCTTCTTCGCCCCATCCCCCTTTTCTTGTCCCTCCCTCTTCCCCTTTCTTTCTCTTCCTTCCTCCCCCTCCCTACACTCCCCTCCCCCCTCCTTCTTCCTCCCTCTCCCTCCTCTCCCCCCCCCCCAAGAAAAAAAAAAAAGAAACTAGAAGACTAAGGTGAAGAAATTTACGTAATCCAGGAAGAAAAAAAAAAACGAAAATGACAGGAATAAACCCTAGTGTTGATTGAGACTTCATAGCGAGGTTCTCTTTTATGCAGGGCGACGCGTACGCACGCACATACACCGACACCTGTACGTATAAGCACACCGACACATATGTAGACACCCACATGCACACTTCCATACGTGCACATACACAAACTTACACTCACGTAATGCGATATAAGCACACTTACACATACATACACACACACAATGAGAATTAACCTTACACACACACACATGCGTACACATACACAGATTTCCTCTTACCTACACTCGCACATACACACGCACACATGACAGACGTACACAGACACACACACACGGACACGGAACTTGAGAATGACACACGTCTACAAGCAATAATGACGACCACCAGTCACGAATAGTCTAAGTAAATTGAATTATTCCTTTGACTCAACCCCCCCCTCCCCCCCTCTTTCCTTCCCCCCCTCCTCCTCCTCCCCCTTTCCAACCCCCCCCCCCCCCTTCTACCTTGTATTTCATGATCAAGGCGAAAAATTACGATCTGGCAACCCGGTTCCACGTCAGCGACCCCTATAACTATGGCAGTCTCTGATTATTTTATTATTGCGAGATTCAGGTGTAGAGTGCGCTTGCAAGTTGCATTCTTCGCACCTTGCAGAGGAGTTATTGGCGAGACTGCAAGCATAGATCTCATTTATCGTCGTTTTGCAATGGGTGATCGATCTGCGAAAAAAAAAGAAAAAAAAATCCCGAGGTGGCAACTGCACCAAGCATAGAATTTTGTGCAGTTGTTCTACGTGTAACTGTGAGTAATAATACTGATGAATGAGAGGAAAAGTGTGAATGAAAAGTTTCACGAGCGAACGGGCGAAGGAAGGAAGGAAGGAAGGAAGGAAGGAAGGAAAGAGAGAGAGAGAGAGAGAGAGAGAGAGAGAGAGAGAGAGAGAGAGAGAGAGAGAGAGAGAGAGAGAGAGAGAGAGAGAGAGAAAGAGAAAGAGAGAGAGAGGAGAAGAAGAAAAGAGAAGAGAGAAAAAGAGAAGATATATATATATATATATATATATATATATATATATATATATATATAGATATAGAGAGAGAGAGAGAGAGAGAGAGAGAGAGAGAGAGAGAGAAGACAAGAGAGAAACGAAAAGAAGAAAAAAAGAGAAACTGTCAAAAGAAGAGAAAAGCAAAACAAAAGTACGAAAGGGAATAAAAGAAAAAGAAAAAGAAAGAAAGAAAGAAAAAACACAAGTTACAGATAACACAACAGAACTTCAAACGCCATTGAACATTTTTTTTCTCGACTTAATGATGTAACTCCCCCCTCCCCCCTTACACTTGCTCTCCTTGTGAATTAGATGTTTGACGTAGAAGAACAAGAAGAAAAAGATAAAAAAAGACATACTGGATATAAATTACAGTTCTTTCATTCAAACACGTTTTCTGATCAAATTACGACACACGTGCATGATAAAATATACGCTAAATTTCTTTCTTTCTTGAAACGAAAATCAGCAAATTAGTAAATGAGAAATAAAGAGATTAATAAAACCAAACTCAAACTTATTCGCGTGCATAAGTAAAATTACTAGAACGTATTCAGATTTCCACATAACTTGCACGCAAAGCGACTCCAAAATACAGTCGCTTTTTCACTCACTTCGAACCCGCTGGTATGTATCCATATTTCTTTCATCTCGGATTCTACCCCCCCCCCCTAAATCGTATCTAGATTCCCTTTGCTTCGTACTTAAAATAATCTCAGAACAGCACTAGAACGGATTAAAATTAAAACCCAAAAGCGACTCAAAAGCGCATCCACTATAACGTATCCAGATTCCCTCGCTTCGAACTTAAAAGAATTCCAGAAAATATTCCTCTTTGATATAAAACACCAATTTACGTTCCTTCTATAACCGTTAATATATTTAGAGTCCGTGTGAGGCAATAAATCGAAAAAAAATATATATAATCAAAAAGAGCTTAGGAATCACGAAAGAAAAGTAGGCCTACGGACGCCATAGATTTCTGGGCATTATCTTATCTCTTCTACCTATCTTCTTATCTATTTCGCCGTTAATTTATCCAATCTTTTAAATTCAAATTCGCAACCGTTATTTTCAAAACATCGCAACAGCCAATTAAAATTCAGCTTTTGATAACGGGCGTTTCTGATTGGTGGATTCCTATCGAGGTTGGGTAATGTGCATGGCGTCTTTTTTTGTGCATGACAGGGCGTCTTGTCGGCTGTCATGTCATGTGTAAGACTATGAAAGAGGAGGGTATTCGGGCCGAAAAGAGAGAAAAATTAATAACATAAGAAATGGTTTTGCTTTTATCTTCATTTTCCTGTTTTTTTCCGATATTAGTTTTTTTTCGGATTTTTAAAATTTCGTAAGTGAGAAAATATTTTATCAAACCTTAACAGAAATAGTAATATTAACTACGATAATGACGATAGTGGTACTCATAACAATAACAATAATAGTGATAATAAC